GAAGGCAGCTTCACGGGCGTTGAAACCACCAAGCCGGCAGGAACAGAAACACAGACCTCAGAGGTAAAGTCTAGATACGTGACCCCAAACATTCTGTAATCAAAGCACCATTTTATCCTGCAATCTGCCTTGAGTCTGAGCCAGGAATGTGGACTGTAAATAAATTAAATAAACAAACTGAATACATAAAGCCAACACACAATGAAGGCACTGCGAGCACCATCAGGTGAGGAACAGGAGGCCCGTCAAACCAACTCTTCCGCAATGCAAGCAAAAGCACAGCCTGGACTCCGATCAGCCACATTCCGTGCCAAAGGTGAGCATTACGTCACCTCTCCCGTCACAAGTACACGGGGTCTGTGCAGAAAGGAGCCTCCACGGGCCCTTCCTGAGCAGGCCTGGGAGCCCTGGGACAGCGGGAGAGGGAGGACTGTGGGGATGGCAGGCGAGGAGGAGGGGAGGGCCGGAGGGCCAGGCAGCTCCACGCTCGGTGGCCAGGGCCTGAGCTTCCTCTATGGCACCTCTGCACATCCATTCTCCCAAAGGCAATCCAATACAACACAGCCCGTAGGCCACGGATTTTTTCCAGGGAGGCTCTGGGGGGATGTCGCTAATTTAATTTAATTTAAATCAGCCCTCCCCTGCCACCATTTATCAGAAACTAACCAATCACTTTTCGTTTATCAATTATATTTATACCTTGGACTATTCCTCTCGTTCCTCCAGTCTACCGACCCACCGGCTGCTAGGATGTCTTTCGCACTGGAGGCAGTGGACACTCCCCCCCCCCCCCGCCGGGCTCTGGGCAAGACTCGTAGAGCAGGCTCTGTGCTGTTTTCGGGTATTCCACCCCATATTATTTTCATCAACTGACTGTCCCCAAATATTGGCGGGCTTTCTTTTGGCCAGCCTAAATGCTTCCCCAACCGCTGTTCTGGTGGCCAGATTCCAAGGAACACCTTACTTGGATAGACTACATGCCCCTGGGGGAATTTGAGCTTCATCCCATATTCTCTGTGATTGTGTGTCAATTGCCCCTCTGAGAGACCTGTGGATAGATGGGGATAGTTTCCAAGGGTTTCCTTGTTTCTATGCCTTTCCTGCCCCCTGACACTGATCTGTGGCTATTACTACATTTTTGGCAGCAGTGGCTTCTATCTGAGGATGGAAACAGAAGGTGGTATTTGGAAGACTGGTTCTGCCCAAGACCGCAGAGTCACTGGAGCATTACATAAAGAAGAATTATATTTATACCTTGTGTCTCAGTGGCTTACAATTAAAAGCAACGATAACTTGTATCTCAAATATTGAGAACCAGTTTGGTGTAGTGGTTAAGTGTGTGGACTCTAATCTGGGAGAACCGGGTTTGATTCCCCACTCTTCCACTTGCACCTGCCTGGATGACCTTGGGCAAGCCGTAGTTCTGATAAGAGCTGTTCTTGAAAAAGAACAGTTTCTGTCAGAGCTCTCTCAGCCCCACCCACCTCACAGGGGGTGTCTGTTGTGGGGAGGGGGAAGGGAAAGTAGTTTGTAAGCCGCTCTGAGACACCTTTGGGTAGTGAAGGGCGGAGTATAAATCCAATCTCTTCTTCTTCTTCTTCTTCTTCAAATAATCACACGTCTTTCCTCGCAGGCCCTTTCCCTTCCTGCAACAGCAAAGATACCCACGACTCAAGCCCACTGCCCAAGGCTCCAGGCTGACCTGGTGGCTGCTGCAACTGTTCTTTCTACTCCCCGTGGGATGTTGGGTAAGTTCGCAACACCACATGCACAAGTAGAGCCTGGAATCTGCACAACTGAGAGGGAATCCCAACGTGTACTGGAGCTTTCTGGTGTTGGTACAGAATTATGGGATGCCTGCAGCCCTTCCCACAGAGCCCCCAATAACAAGGACACCGCATGGAAGGGAGTTACAGGGAAATGTCCGGAAGTCAGGAAGCAGCATCCGGAGGACCAGCGGCTTTGCGGCGCCACGACTCCGGCCCCAGTGTGTGTGGGGGGGATGCTCTCCTTGTCGTATCCCTTCGGCTCTTTTCTCCCTGGCATATGGCATCGACCAGCTTGCACTCATCCAAGCCCTGGGGCAGCGTCAGATCTTATTGGAGGGCACAGGCTATGAGTTAGGAGCCCAAGGGAAGTTTTCTTCCTACATAACCAAATGCTGCTGGTACATTTCACATTAATAAGTGCAGCTAGCTCTATTTTTAGTTATGGCTTGAAGAAAAGAAGCTAGATCAGGCTTTAGAGATGCCTAAAATAGAAAGAAAAATCAGGAACGCCAAACAATCTGTCATGCAGAACAGATCACAAATGTTAATCTAGCACACAAGAATTCTCTAGAGACTAGAGCCTCGGGAATGGATATCGCCCACTGAAGTCCCCCCTGCTCCTCTTCTAGCAGTGCCCGGCATTTTTAGATCAGAGGATTTTCATGCTTTACTCATCTCTCCTTATATATATTTGCGTTTTCGTGTCCCTCTTGCCTGAATGTTCCACACGCCCCCACAGCCTTTGGCTGCCTGATGTGTCGCTCACCAGGGGCCTCTACCCATTGGTGGCTGCGTTGCCTCAGTCCTGCCCTTCCCTTTCATCTCATACTGTGACAGAAGACGACAAGGTTTCTGCTGGGACGGAAGCAAAGCTGCGCCACTTGAAGCAAAACCTCGCTCCAGCCTTCAACGGGCTGCTTACGGGGGAGGGGGAGCGCAGCCAAGCCGGGAGCCCCCTTTCGTCAACCACGCTGCCTGCCTGTCCCTCACCCGCCGCTGGAGCACAGTCTCGCAGCCACACATGCCCCCGCATGGAGCAACACCCGCACAGAGCTCTTGCCCCCACCCCGGCTGCTGCTTCCCTTTCCTCGGCCGCCCGCACTCCCGCTTTGCATCGTGCCACTTTCGGGGGGGGGGCACAAGCGGGATGCCACCTTCTTCAAACTGCTTTCTACAGACAAGTGCCATTTAAAGGTAAAACCCAGTGGCAATATTGGGAGAGAACAACAAGCTCTTTCACTTCCACGTCTCTCCCTCTCCAAGAAGTCAGATTATAAGGATGGCTAATTTGTCCTGCACTCTAGCATCTTGCCTGTGTGATCAGCTCACACACAAGGTTGTGGTGACACACAAAACAACTTCACCTTGGCAGTTTTTGCATTTAGGTGCTTTGGTGGGGAAAGAACTAAAGCCAAACTTCACAACCAATAGCCAATGTTGCAAGTTGCGCAAGGCCCATCCATGTAGAGGCCGTCCATGCTTGTAGCACCCACCACTTACTTCACAACCAATAGCCACATACTTCACAATAGCCACATACTTCACAACCAATAGCCACTTACTTCACCACATACTTCACAACCAATAGCCCTGTTCACAAGTTGTGCACGTACAATGCATGTAGAGCTGAATGTAGAACTGGAACAACACATTTGATACTAGTACCTGGTTTCATTTGGAAAGTGAACACACGCTGGCTCTTCCTTACAAACAGGTGTACACGCAGGATGCTTACTGGGATTCACAATTATGTGGAACTGAGAATTTTCCCAGACCCCACATCTTGCAGAACTGGTGAACATGCCCCCCCCCCATCCGCATGAGTCTATCTCGGCCACAAGTTGGGGGGGGGTCTGAGCCTTGACTTCAGATGGAGCCCCGGAACCCGCAGGGCTGCCAAGCAGGCCTCACCTCTTCCTCAATGACGTCCCAAACAGAGTGAAGCAAAGGTCTCATACAGCTTACGCGGCATTATGTGCTCATTATGCTTTTATCCTGCCTGTCCTTTAAGGAATTCAGGTTGGAGCTCACAGCAATTAAGAGCAAAAACAATGTGGATAAACTCTCTCTCTCTCTCTCATTATTATTATTTATTAAATTTCTAAATCACCCCATCCCTGAGCACACAGGACTCTGTGTGATTTACAAAAAATTAAAACATAAAAAATACAGTTTAAAATCAGCAATCAACTAATCCCAAAATTTCAAAATCTTCAGATGGCATCTACGCAGGGGTCATTGGGGGGGGACGCGGGGGGACGCCATCCCCCCAGGTGAGGTGTGGGAGGGCGGGGCCTGGAGCTCCCTGCTGGTGCCCGCTGGAGGTCGCCGCCGGCTGTGGGGAGGACACACTTCCGGTGGTCAGGGGGTGTGGCATATGCTAATGAGTCATGCTAATGAGTCCCCCTAACTCTTTTTCTACGAAATGACCCCTGCGTCTATGACTTAATCTAGACCCTGCTCTGGACTGTTCTTCCATCTCATGGGCAGGTTAAGGAGGAGGCCAAAGCAGGCAAGATGGAAAAAAGGAAGAAAAGAGGAGGGTGCCAGTGAGGATGGAGACCGTGGGTGTCCTCAGCCAAGAGCCCAGGGGGGGGGGGGCATGAAAGTCCCGCGGCGGGA